TGGACCTCGCATCGACTACACCTAGTGTGTGCATGCAGGCAGGATGCGGGAGTGGGTGTTAGGTGGCTCACTGTTAGTGGATCCCTAGGCGGATCCCTGCAATTTATCCTATTTTTCTCCCTCGATGCCCCCGGAGGCTATTTACGTTGCCTCCTTACCTGGATCTTCTCCCTTACACACGACGCGCTAGGTCGCGGGAGGGCGCTGCCGACCAGCAGTACCTTGCCCAGTGGGGCTGGGCACCACCTTTGGGGCTTTGCTGGGGCTTTCTCGGGCGCCCAGTCGGCGGCGACCCGCGGCAGCGGGACGGGGCGGTCGCAACTGCATTGGTGCTGGATGACTTGCAATCAAGCATCCAGACACCTGAAAGCAGCCTTTTTCTCATTTTTTAGCCCAGCGGCAGCGCCGGGAGCGGCGTCAGGTGCCACTTCAGCTAGCCACCAGCTGTGGCCCTGGTCGGGCCCGCATCGCAGCAGTTTCGCTGCTTTCGTCCGGCCTTTCCTCTCTTTTCACTTTTCCTGTGCCTCTATTTGCCGTTTCTGTTGCAGGCCAGCTTATTCAGGCGGTGCCAAGGCACCATCGCCGCAGCGAGGCGGCCGCCGCATCATGACTCGCCGTTTGAGTCAGATGCGGCGACTGAAATGCTGATTCCCCTCAACTTTCTCTCTGCTTTGACATCTTTACATATTAGACCCCTTTTCACCAGTTTTCCCTTGTTTCATCGCAGGAACGGGCACCGGGGTGGAGAACAGCAGCGGCAGCAGCAGCGGCAGCAGCAGCGGCAGCAGCAGCAGCAACAGCAGCAATCCATCACGTTCAACATGACCATCTGCGCACGAGGACGTGCGCTTTTTGCTGATGGGGGGCCAGATGTAACATGAGTTAGCGCAGAGTTAGCTCAGGTGTAGTGCACTGGCACTACAATGTGCAGCCTTAGATGTCTCGTGGACAAAAACGAAAAGGAGTCTATAAAATTGTAAAAAGAATTAGAATTAAATTAACCGAATTGTAGAGCGAAAAATGGTATTGGAGGTGAGTCGACTTCTCATAGAGTCGGAGCCGTCATAGTATGCGGCCGGTGACAGTGCCGCGGCCCCTACGCCGGCATCCTCTTGCTGTTCTGGGATCTAACGACCGTTTGCCCCGCGAGGGGGCGGGGGCTCGGTCAGAGGTTTTGAACTCGGAAAATTCCATTTTTCCCCTAATATTTGTCCACGAAATCGTCGTTACTGCTACTTCCTACCTTTAGTAACGTAGATCCCATCCGTAATAGGCTCTGACGTGACGTAGGCAGGTTGCGCAAGCGGTGCAAAGGCCCGTCAGTGTATTACATTTGGGGGCCGTTCCGGGAGAGTGGAAAGGCTATCTTCCACCCAAATTCGCGGCGGAAGGCCTATCCCCTACCAGAAAAAACAATAATTTCATTGACGCACAAGGGCACTCGCACCCAAGGAGCGAGGGGACACGCGTGCGCAACCCCACAAAGGAGACACCAGGACTTCCGAAGCCGTCTAGCGAAAAAATGTCGGACGTAGAAACCCCATCTGTGGAGAGTGTGGGAACTCTACCCGAGGCACGGAAGACCAGACCCAGGCGGGATACCGAGCAAACGAAAAGAAGAAAAAGTGCAACCCAGACGGTGAACCAGGGGAAGGCCGAGGAAAGGGCAATTACTGATTGGGAAAAGCCGATGTTGGAGTTGATCAAAGAGATGAAAGAAGATAATCGAGTTAGAAACGAAGCGTTGGTGTTAATGCATCAGCAGGCGAACAATAGGGCCGAAGAATTATTGGAACTGCACCGCCAGACTAACAAGGGAGGAAAAGCGCATCCTGAAGGTCGAGGTAGCACTCCGAGGGATCACATCAGGCGGAAAGGAATCGCATCATCCGAGGAAGGAACCAATATGAGGTCATTTTTGGGAGTGGTCGAGCAGGAATTTAGGGAATCGGAGGTGCCCATGGAAGAATGGGGAGGTCTATTAGGGAAATATCTGACAGGCAAAGCTATGACGTTCTTGGCGTTCCTGAAACAGCCGGGAGTGTATATGACGGATTGGAAGGAAGTACGGGATAGGCTGTGTGAGAGATTCTGCTCGCTGTCACGTGAGAAGATGATTGATCTGCTAGCCGAAAATCAATGGACTGGGGATTACAGCGAGTATATCAACCGATTCACGAAGGTGGTGGCTCAAGGAGAACGCGTACCTGGAGAGGAACTGGTAACGTTGTTTTTTACTCTGCTACCATCTGATATAGGGGAGTTGATCTCTTGCGATGGGACCAAGACGTTTCACGACTGGCAGGAGGCCGCAACGGCTTTACGCAACTGGGCTATGCCGCTAGAGGCGTGGCGCGCAAGGAGGAACAGAGGTGTGAAGGAGTTCACGGCACGTGGGAAGCGACGACCAGGAGCAGACCTGATCTCGTTTGGGAGGACCGCACCAGCGATAGGAAAGGGTGGCCCTCCCGACAAAGGAGGGGTTAGCCGCTGTTACGAGTGCACGGGAAAGGGGCATTTCGGCAGGGACTGTCCCTTACGCAACGGAGTACAGAGACGGAGAGGGGAAATATGCACTAAATGCGGAGGGAAGGAACACTATGCACGAGAATGCGCCACGCCTCAGCGGACACAATCTGGACGAATAGACGGGTGGAACGCGACTACCCCACGTGCGGAAGTGGGAGCGGGAATCAAACGATTAAACGAAAAGGCCTAGGCGTACAGGGAGACGTGCGCACTAGGCCAAAGCAACCGATAGGTGACCCAAAGGACCAGGATGCGAGCGAGCCTGGAGCTACCAACGTCTCCCCCAGCTGGAGAAAGGACGAGACCGGGGCGAGGATGGAAGGCGAGAACAGCGGGAAGGGACGAGAGCGGAACCAAGTGCACCCGTGGAGGCCAGTAAGGCTAACGGACGGAAGAACCGAGGCAAACCCACGGAGGCACGCGATGTTAGTGGGAGACAGCACGGGAACGGACAACGGATGTGAAGTGAACGGAAGCGGAAGGGTGAAGACTAGCGGAACGGATACGGATACGCGTGAAGGAGAAAGCGAAAGGACGGCTGAAAGCGGAACCAAACACGATAACGGAACGGTACCCACGGAAGGGCCAGCGGAGAAAGAGACGACCAACCCAGGTAACGGGGGATGCGCGGAAGGGGAGCAGGTATTGCCTTGGTGGATGTGGTGGCAGGAAGGGGACGCAGATAAATGTACGCAGGAATACCTGGGACCTCTATGCGGAGTGGGCGAAACGGCGGTGCTAAAGCTTGAAATTACCGGACGAGGATACGAAGGGCTGCTCGATACGGGAGCCTCACGGAGCTTCATCCGTCCTGCAGTGGTGGAGCAACTGGGACTGAAGATGCAAACCTTGCGAGAGGCATTCTCCTTCACTGTAGCGAACGGTGCGATCATACATATCGATAAGGAAGTACCGAGATTGACTATGCTATGTGGAGGGGAGTGTTTCACAGGGAACTTCCTGGTAGGGCCCATACCGTTCCCTATCATATTGGGGATAGATTGGTTAGTGAACCACAAGGTCGCGTGGTATTTCCAGTCAGACAAGATTAGAACGTATGTCAATGGACGATGGTGTGACTTGCCGGTTTTGCGGAGGGGAGGAGCAACGTCGACGCAAGATAACACGACCCCCAAGGAACAGATAAAAACCGCAGCGGACCGCGCCTATGAGGAGTTGGCGGCACAAGTAGCCAAGATGTCGGTAGAAGAGGCTAAGGCGCTTCTACGCCCTCCGCCTAAACGATACAAGTCGAGACACAGAGCAGGAGAAAGGGTGCGAATCAAGGATATACTTCAGAAGGCAAGGGAGGATACTGCGAACTTGAAGGGGGCGCTTGAAGGCCTGCATCTCGTCGTCGCACTACCAGCTACGGAACCAGAGCGGGTTGTGCGCGTACCAACCGAGCGGCAAGGGCCTCTACTGTATGCACTGGTGGAATACGCGAAGTCTCTTCCCAATCGACAGGCTCAAACGCTCAATGGGCCTGAGGAGTCCGCAGACACAACGCAGACGGAAGACGACGAATCGCCCTGGCCCAGGGCACAGCTATCCTTTACCGAATTCGATGCGTGGATAACGGGTCCGGAGGCAGCCCAAGTACCGGAGCAGATCCTAACGGTGTTGAGGCAACACAGATCTAGTGAATACTCCCTACAATCACGGCAGCAATGCCGTGCTCGTTGTGAAGTGAGTGAGATTTGTATGAAT